TCCAAGTTATGAGAAAGAAGAATAGTATCTGAATTGGAATTCTTCACTATGGACTACCTTCTTCATACCTAAGAAATGTTTCGGGAAAGTTATGTAAAGCTCTGGGAACCACACCCTTCCACATCCATCATAGATTATATCTATCTATAAGAACATAACAGTGATCACAGGGTAGTCTCCTTTTTTCTTTTTATATCTACTAATTAGACTTAAATAAAAGAAACTTATAAAAGTTTCTCCACCTCTATGTATTTATGGATATATATATTTATAAATGTAATATATATATTCATATATTGAACATATATATAATATTGATACACATATATATATATATGTTATTCTATGGGTCATGTATATTATAAATAATATATTGTCAATTAATAATATGATATATAATAATATATTATATGTAAGATTATATATTATATATTGCTATAAATAATATCATATTCTGTGAGTTAAATAAAAAACAAATGCTTTCTCTCCCTCCTCCTCCTCCTCCTCCTTTTCCTCTTCCTCCTTTTTCCTCTTCTTCTTCCTCTTTTTCTTCATCACTATCATAATCTTCTTCTTCTCCTTCTCCTTCTCCTTCTCCTTCTCCTTCTCCTTCTCCTTCTCCTTCTCCTTCTCCTCCTTCTCCTTCTCTTTCTCCTTCTCCTTCTTTGTCTTTTTTTTTTTTTGTCAAATAGAATTAGCTCTGGCCATTAGGAGTTCCTTGAGATTTTTTTGTTTTCGATTTTCAACAAGTCTCATTTTTCTTTTCTTTTTTCCCAATCTCATTTTCTGACCTTGCACCATATCCCAGGCACATTGAATAATACTCTACCCCAGCCATGAAATCCACCCAACTTCAAGAAGAAACTCAAGTTCCTTTTGTTGGCGAATGAAGTATAAAATTCACATCAGTGTGGTAATTGCCACTAGAAAGTGACCTACTTCTATGTTCCACCAGCTGTCAGAGAAGACATGTATATATACTGACTTTTTTAAGTTCATACTCAGACCTGTGTTCTAGTTCTATAAATGTAGTAACACTTTTCAGTGATTTCTAGTATCTCATTTTCTACAACATGGAACATTATATATGTTTGTCCAATCCCAATGTGTAGAAATAGCTGTTTAAATCAATAACCTATATTCCTGAAGAAGCACTTCCACAAGATCACAGCATAGGGAGATATATCATTGTAGCTTTGGGATTACAGTATTCAGTCACTAGTTTTCCTTTTTCCTTTAACTTTATCTTTCTTAATACCTCAGTGTTATATGGTCACATATAACTCCTACTGGTTTTAATCATTTATTTAAGAGCTTGTTTTTCTTGGATAGCAAACTTTGTTACAGTTGTAATTCAGTGTTATATGAAAGAATATACTAAAGAAAATGTCCTCTCTTCCCCTTATTTTTTCTTTCTATTTCTTTCTCTTCTACCTCCTGTAACTAAGCAATCTCTTCAGTTTTTACCCTATCTTCCCTGTATTTGTTCTATACAGATGAACAAAAAGTATCTTTCTTGTTTTGCCTTCTTTATCACAGAGTATCTTATTATGTCTATTCTTTTAGATTTATCTTATTACTTGAATGTATTTCCATTAATTCAGTCTAAATTAGTTCATAGAGATCGTCCCGAGACATTTTGTAGCTTCATATTATCCCCTTATGTGAACATACCCATGTTCCTTCAACCACCCGGATTTAGATGAACACAGAGGTTACTTCTGATTTTTACAATTCCAAACACTACTGCAAGGAATACCTCTGAGCATACAATTGACAGTTTTATTTTTTTATTTAAATGAAAAGAAAATCAATGCCTGGGATAAAAAATAGTTACTCTGTTTATTATAAAACATCTCTTCCATAAAGTCTGCCTTTAAAACACTCCCCATGAGATCATACATAACATCATAATAAAATAGCAACAAACTCAAAATTGTGGAGAAGAAGGAACTAAGCTCATGCATCTTATTCTTTCAACTTTTCTACAAGTCATGTTGTGCCTTTTACAAGAGTTGCTATCCAAGCCAAAGCAGAGATGACCAGTGTTCCATGTTTCCAACACTACAGAATGCTTAGCCTTCCTCCAGTGAAGCTCAGAGGGATCTCAAAGCTTTCCACTGGTCCAAGTGTTGAGAGTGAATACAGAAAATGTCCATCATTGCTTTCTCCTACATTCTCCCTGCCCCAGATGATGTAACCTGAAGACTTATCCCCTGCTTATCCCACGTTCCTACCAAGATTGACTAAACTTTTCTCCTTGATCCAGTTGTATACCACAAACCCCACCTCCTTGTTCAGCTATATGCAGTACCCCATCTTCCAAGCATATGCTCACATCCTATAGGTGTATCCATGCCCAGGTTTTTGCCAGTGTTGTAGATAATCTTGGGTAGCAGCTTGGCACACCTGGGATGAGGAAATTGCTCCCATCAGATTGGACTATGGACATGTTTGTGAGTCATTTTCTAGATTTCCAATAGATATAGGAGAACTCAGTCTGTTATAGGCAGTATAATCCCAAGCAGGTAGGACTGAACTATATAAGAAAGGTGGCTGACCATGACCCAGGGAACAAGCCAGTAAGTAGCTTTCCTCAATTGGTTTATGCTCAAGCGTCTGCCTTGGTTTTCTTCTTGGCTTCTCTTGATGATAGACTGTAAGCTGAAATAAACCCTTTCCTCCCCAAGCTGCTTTTGGCCATAGAGTTTATTATAACAAAAGAAAGCAAACTAGAAAAATAGGAAAGCCCATATTTCCACAGAAATACTCACATGACAAGAAGTAAATTTGTCTCATTTCTTCCTAGTTATAGTTAGAGAGCAGTGGCTCTCAGATGTGGCTGAGTAAGAGCATGATATGAGAATCTAAAACACTCATATTTTTAGACATATGGAGAGTCATTAGTCAGAATAATCTAGAGAAAAGTCTGGAATTTGTACTTAAAAATACAAGAATGAAGATTTATACATACTTGTGTAATTTTGCTATTGCTGACTTGCCAGGCAGATTAATGTAAAAGAGTAAAGTTTTTATATTGTGTCTATCTCATTATTTTAAAAAGTATCAAAAATCACTTGATTTAATGGTGGGCAAGGTTTATTGCCTTCTCTGTCAAGCAAGCAGTTTAAGGGGAAGGTACAGAGGACTTGAATTTTCTCAAAATTCAGGGAGTTTAATCCCTGTCCTCATGTATTTTGTTGTTAACAAAAATGGGTTAAATCCTCACTGTCCAATATCAAATACCCATACAGTTTCTCTGCTCCAGCTCAGAGTTTTAATGAATACCAAAGTCTGCATTTATTAAAACATGAAGGTGAACATGTACATTGTAGCATAGAAATACTGATAATATAAATCACGTTTATATCAAATTCATCATACTACTCGATCTTAAAAATGCCTCATGGACAGTGTATTGAACTGGTGCATCCCTCTATGTGCATTGCTTTTGTGTATGGATGTTTAGGGCAGTAGAATTGATAATGTGATGTTAGACACAACTGTGCCAAGAAACAATATCCATCACATTATAACATTGTATCTTATACTATTGCATAATATAACATTGTATCTTATACTATTGTAATGTTATTCTATTGTATAATATCCTATTTTATAATATAACATTGTATCTTTTTCTGTAGTAGGAGCCTTGTAATTTCTGAATATAATTCCAACCAAACATACCAGAAATAATTATTGTCACTGGGCTATCACTGATCTCTTAGTTGTTACCTTGGTTGAACAGCTATATAAACAAAACAACTCATATTAACATCTTGAAAAGACATGGCTTTGATTCTGCTTGAATGTCTTCTCAAATCTGATTCTAAGATTAAATCTTAGCCCCTCATTCACCCTGAATGTCAGTTACATTCAAGGAAATACAGGAAACATTAGTCCCATGTTTTCATGAGGAGTAGCCATATATGGAGAGCAGCTGTTCAGTGACAGGGCTGATATTCTCTAACGATGGGAGTTGTGCTGTTTAGAGCTATATTTCTCATATCTGTTTCTCTTGATCAATGGTTCAATTATCTAGTTTTAATATAGTATATTACAATTTAGTCCTAAAACCTATGTCAGAAGAACTATGCAAGAACCAAGAGAAATTCCTCAAAGTAAAGCTCATCTTCATTTCCAAAGACTTTGAAAACACCATTTATATGTTACTTGGTAATTAGTTATTTTCGTGTCTGCACCATAGGCATGTTCTGTAATCTCTCCTGACCCCAATACCCTGAATTTGAGGTACCTCAACCCAAAGGAGTAGTTGTCCAGAGAGATAGAATAGCAACAGCCCCGCCCCCAACCCTTGGGAGCAGAAAGAAAAGAATTATACTAAGAAATTGTTTAAAAACACAGGTGGAGCAGGCAGAAATAAAACCACAGATGTATAGACTCATGGCCTAGGAGAGGAGAATTTAACTCAAAATAGTAAATAATCTGTTAAGCATTGAACTAAACCAGTTTGATGAACTCAAATGCCCTCGGCTCAATAGGCAGGACTCTCGGAGGAGCCTGTGTTACTTCCCTCACTTAAGTGAAGATTTGTAATAAAAATCATAATGCCAAAGGCATGGTTTTGGGCTACACAAGAAGCTAACCACTTGGAGAATCGTCTTTGATGGGTCAGAAAACTGTACAGTCGAAGATCAGTTTATAATTTACGAAGAAAATAGAAAGTTTTGTTTCTCTGAGTTGAAATTTGCTGAACACCGCGGGAAATATTGCAAGTTTTTGGCAGAAGGCTTAGTGCTTTGCTCAGTTTTTGAGATGTGCATGAAGCCCGAGACTTCGGGGATCATTATTTGAGAAAAATCGGACAATTCGATGTAGGGAATTTTGACATTTTTGGCTTTTTTTGAGGTGTAACAAACACAACTCTGCATCCGAGAGGACACTCCACGGCTGCCAGCGAGGCGGGCTGGACAGCGCACCAATCACGACGCAGCTCCGCCCTATATAAACGGGCGGGCGCAGCGCCGCGGCCCGAGTCCCGGCCAGTGCCTCTGCTTCCGGCTCGAGTTCTCTCTCCTCACACACGCTTCACCATGTCCGAGACTGCGCCTGCTGCGCCCGCCGCACCGGCCCCCGCCGAGAAGACACCCGTAAAGAAGAAGGCCCGTAAGGCCGCTGGTGGCGCGAAGCGCAAAGCGTCCGGACCCCCGGTGTCCGAGCTGATCACCAAGGCTGTGGCCGCCTCCAAGGAGCGCAACGGCGTGTCCCTGGCTGCGCTCAAGAAGGCGCTGGCGGCCGTGGGATACGATGTGGAGAAGAACAACAGCCGCATTAAGCTCGGTTTGAAGAGCTTGGTGAGCAAAGGTATCCTGGTGCAGACCAAGGGTACCGGCGCCTCCGGCTCCTTCAAACTCAACAAGAAGGCGGCTTCCGGTGAGGCTAAGCCCAAAGCCAAGCGGGCAGGCGGGGCCAAGGCTAAGAAGCCTGCGGGCGCAGCCAAGAAGCCCAAGAAGGCTGCGGGAGCAGCCACCCCCAAGAAGAGCACCAAGAAGACTCCAAAGAAAGCAAAGAAGCCAGCTGCAGCTGCAGGAGCCAAAAAAGCTAAGAGCCCGAAGAAGGCAAAAGCAGCTAAGGCTAAGAAGGCGCCCAAGAGCCCTGCCAAGGCGAAAGCGGTAAAGCCCAAAGCGGCCAAACCAAAAGCCTCAAAGCCTAAGGCAGCTAAGCCAAAGAAAACCGCAGCCAAGAAAAAGTAAATTTTCTTTGGCCAACTACTTAGCCCAACAACCCAAAGGCTCTTTTCAGAGCCACCCACAAGTCTCAGTAAAAGAGCTGTTGCACATTCTGAGGGGGCGTGGTTAGGGTGGGATCGCTACCTAGTGGGCTGAGCTTCGGAGAAAAGAGGCTGGGGATGTGGGTGTGTGCAGTGGTATTAACTCCAACTTAGCTATCTATTAAGAGTGCGTGTTTACTCTTCGTCGCCTCATTGTGTGCGTCCGGGGGTGGCCGCGCCCGGGTGGGAAGGTGTGATAGCCCACAAATGGTCCTTAGAGACAAGGGCGATAAAATAGTTTATCCTTGACTTCTACGTCGATGTGCATCTAACTTAAGGGGAACAAGCTTGAGTGGTAGAATCTTAAGCACTAAGCAGTTCCGTGCAGAATGAACTGAATCAATGTCCTGACAACTCCCGCCCGAATCTCATTGCAGTTCTGACTGCAGAGTCCAGCATACAGACCCAACCAGAGTACTCAAATTGTTCTTGTGTTTTCCCATGTTTAATAGCGATCGTACTAGCAGGTTAGCTACAGCAGATTTGTGCAGTTTAATTCGTACTTCCCGATTGGTGAAAGCGAAGTGACAAGACAGCCAATGAGACAGTAGACCTTCAAGTGTCGTTTACGTTCCTGTTCGTGACGAAACACTAAAACTAATCCAATCATGAAGGAAATCTTATTAACCTCATTTGAATACTGCGTAATGTAGATGAATGTGGTGTAACTGGTGACAGGGAAGTTATTTTACCAAATGTTTTTTTAGTGTACTTGTGGGAGGGAGTTAAATCTTGCACAATGCCTGAGCTGGCGAAGTCCGAGCCTACCCGACACAAGGACTGTCACTAACAAACAAGACAGCAAGGAGTGTAAACACAGCTGAAAGGAGAGCGTCTCATTGTAAGTGTACAAGGTACTGAAGCACCCCAACTTGAGCATCTCTTCCAAAGCCATGGGCATCAACTATATTAAAACGCATTGCGTGCGGCGTGCCACATTACAAAAAGCGCATGACCATCATATCTCAGTTGATCGAGATTCTCCTGAATTGCCCAGGAAGCTGGCCAAGCACCAAGCCTGTAAAGTACAGAAGCCAAGTAGGCATTTTCACCAGTGATTTCAAAGACTTTTAGGAGCTAGGCATTCTTTCAACAAATGAGTTGTAGTTGTTTCAAGTAACCTTAAACTTAAAGCTATGTACTTTTTTTCCCAATCTGTTGAACGTATAGTCAAGAAATCTAGCCCAAGTTAGCCCAGAATTTTCAATCCTTCCCAAGCAAAGTTTATTCCCGTGCACCACCATGCCCGTTGGGCTTCTCATGCTTCAAATTTGTGTTTCTGTGAACTCCATGGTGCCCGGAAATGGGGTTGATGACAATAGTTTCCAGGAATCCATACACTCACTGACACAAACATCCAAATGGCATATGAATTCCATATAGTTAATTCGCTGTCACATAATTACAGGTACTAAAGTTAACTAAAGATGCTGTTTTTAAGCATGCAGCTCTCTATTTGGGTGCTTCTGTATCCGTGTTCCTCTTCTAGAGACTGAGTTGGCCTTAGAGTTCCGAGATTGCTCTCCCTAAGCACAAATGACCATGCTCAATTTCATTTCGATTGGAGATTTTGCTTTCTTCCCCATTCCCACCCCCAACCTTTTTTGTTTTTTCTATAAGGTATGAAAAGGAATCTACTGAAAAGGAATCTAAGACAAGAGTTCCCAAAGAAATGTGGTTGTTTGTAGGTGCTTGCTTTGCAAGCAGGCCAGTTTCAATGTGACTGAGTTTGTCACTGGCAGAGATTAGGCTTTCACAAAAAGAAAAGCAATCTGGGATGAAGTTCTCTGTTACTGTATCTTAGACAGTTACTTAGTTCCCAGTCTTTGAGCAGCTTTCAATGAGTATGTTCCCTAGGTGCAGTCCTGGTGGTAGACCTGTGATACCTGTAAGGCAGGAAGCAGGCTGAAGCCAGAAGGAAGAAAAAATCTAGGTCTGCCGGATGTAGCTGTTTCTTCACAAGGCAGACTGGCATCTTGTGCTTAGGAAAAAGATAATAGCAGGGGAAATAAATCAAGGAAATAGAGAGGCTGGGAAGGAGTGCGGCTAGGAGAAAAGCAAATATAAGTTCTTCAAAAAAATCTCGATGTGGATCAGGCTGAATTTGAAGTAAACTGGATGAGATGGTGGAAGCAGTGCGCTGTCTCACAACCTCACAAGTTTGATACCTCTACAAATGAATTAAAGTCCTAATGATGTTTTCCTTTTACAAAGTATGACATTGCTCATGTCAAGGGACTGGGCCTGTGTGAAACCCCAAGAACTACAGCTGACTTTTACCCAGCCTAAACTTTGGTACATAGGGCATTACATGGGCCTTTAAGTGCAGCCTTAATCAGAATCTTGAGCTAGTGATGTTGAGGCTCCAGACAAAAGACCTTTCTTCAGCAGAGGAAGATCTGAAAATCCACACTGCCTGGCACAGGTGGCAGACCACCCCCAGACGACGACACAGAAAACCTCAAGCTCTGAACTTGGTTCTGGACCAGGTTTACATTCCAGAATTCAAACCAACAGATACAGTAGCTAAACTGGATATGTAATTAGGGTTTTGCTAAGGTACTTTTGTGTCTGGGAGCACCAGGGAAATCCAATACTAATTATTACTTTGCATCCTTAGAACTGTGCATCAGTGCATGGTGTAGAAACACTAGGATCATAGCGGAGAATTTTATAAAGTTGATGGATTTCTCCGTACAAGAAATGAATAAATGAAAAATATTACAAGATTCTCACCATGGCATGTTAAATCAAACTATAAGCTCTTAACAAATACAGTACTCATTGTCCGGATGTCCCGGCCTCCTGGGGCACCAGACACACATACAATGCACATATGTAAATATAGACAAAACATCATACACATAAAATAAAAATTAATAAAATTCTTCAAAGGAAAAAAGGTCACAGGGTGTGGTGGTACACACTTTTAATCCCAGAACTCAGGAGGCAGAAGCAGGCAGATCTCTATGAGTTTGAGAGCCTGATCTACAAATCAAGTTCCAAGCCAGCAAAGACCACATAGTGAAACCTGTGAAGGGAGGTGAGGGGGACTAACGATCATCATTGTCTTTTAAGTTACTTTGATTTGGGAGGTTATGAGTTAAAATATTTTCTTGTGTATGTGTTTAGTATTTATTAAGTTGTAATTTCCTTCTAACTCTTAATTTTCAGTTACTAATTAGTTATGAATTTTATCCTTTCTGTTTTGGCACCACATGAAATTGTACCCTACCCTTTTTTGACCATAAAGAAGTAGAGATAGAGTTCCTAATGTTTGTTCTTGCTTGCATTCATATGATGTATTTTAATTTTTTGTTCATGATGAGTTATTAAATTATGTCTGGATGCATATTAACATTTTACATGATTTTTTTCCAATTGATTTTCACACATGAATTACTCTGTTATTTTCTCTTTGAGGGCTACCTTTCCTAGATTTTGCCATTAAGATTATGACAGCTTCATAGTCACGTTTATCTATTGCTATATGAAGAAAGAAACAAAGAAAGAAACAAAGAGAGGCAGAGAGAAGAAAAGAAAGAAAGAAAGAAAGAAAGAAAGAAAGAAAGAAAGAAAGAAA